AAAAAAAATAACCAAAGAAATAACGATATTAAATTTTCAATAAAGAGAATTACTTGATATTTACTGTTCTTAAAAAGGAAAATCCATATTATTTACTGTTCTAGCCAGAGAAAACTGGAATTTCTGAAAAGTTGTCTTAAGAACAAAAATACCTGTATGCCTCGCTTGTCCAGGGATCTGCTTTTACAAATTAGAAGTAACCCTATAAGCCCAGAGGCTATATCCCTTATAATGTCCACATTACTATAGTATGGTCTTGTTAAGCACTGGGCATCATTTTCTGTGGGTTCATCAGACTCTAGGATGTTCCACTTATAAGTATAGTTTTCCCCTGGTTGAACTGCTCTAATTATGGTATCAGCACCTGAAAGAAAATATAATTAATTTTTTCATGATAATATACAAAACGTATAAATAATTTGAGCTCTAGAGTCAATTAATACTAGGAAAGGAATATTCTTTTTACATTAACCTCAATTGATAGAACCCTAGATAGCATGTAGTCATTAGATATTGTTCCACTAGAGGTCACTATGGCACTAACAAAGGACACTAACTTTGTAAACACTATCCCATAAAAATATCTGAATTTTAGGATACCCCTACATCTATACTCCCTGATTGCACAAAGGCAAAGAGGTTAGTAGAAAATGTGGTGGCTTCTCAGAGGTCAATAGTTTCATTCAGTGGAAGCAAATGATTCACACCCAAGTTGGAAGAAGAGTTGACTTGATCTTCATAAGGAGAGAAGGTCACTCCATGAGGGTAAATGTTGTACACACGGCTTGCCATATTTTTGAATACAATCTACAAAGTTAAATAAAAGTAATTTAATGTCAAGCAATTAATATATGATGCTAGCTTTGTATATTCACCTGGTATAAGTGTGTGGGTGGGTGTGTACAAACTAGTTCTGTTTATTTGAGCAGCAGCCTCCTCTATCACCTGGCAGAAGAACTAAGAGTGCACTCACAGTGGAAGGTAGAATGACAGGCCTAACCTTACTAGTGATGTTTTCTTTACCATTTCCAAATCGGTTTCTATCTCTCTTGCCCTCTCCTTTGGAATATGCTCCTTTCTATGTTGTGATTCCTCTCTCCAGTTAGAGGAGAATCTTAGTACCACTGCTGTTGAAGCCATCTTTATCCCAACCCCAAATTATGTTGATTGAGGTAAACTAAATTGATAATTTATATCTGTACCTGGGGTTTTAGGTTCAAACCTCTACAAATATATATTTTCATGCCCTGTCCTGCACTGGAGCCCCAATTCTACTTTCCCATGTTTCTCTGGGCCTCTTCATTCCCCCAATCCAACCCTGCCACTGTCCGCCTATGGTTGCCATAATTTTGTGGCTATGTTAAGAATTTATTATTGGTTTGGCTTTGACTGAGGAAGTCATCTTCATTTTCAATGAGCTATACTTCCACTTACTTGGGGCACATAAAAAGTATTAGAAATTGGGGAAGGGAAAGAGAAGGTAAAAGCAATTGAGTTTTGTTTTTTTATTATTTTTAAATGAGCAGAATAGGTCTTGTCTGCTGATATCCTCTTAGTTCATCCCCATGAAGAGGTAAGGGGTGGGGGGCAGGCAGTGTTTATGCAGCAGTCCTAGGTAAGCTTCTAATCTTCAAAAGAGAAACTTAATCTTATCTTTGACTTGGTTGATTGGGAAAGCCTTTGGGTCATCCTCATCTGTAGATTATCTGCATTCCAAGTCTTCTGTAACCTTTGTTCTCTGCTACCAAGTTTTTATCAAAGGCTTGATGATGTGACATAACATTTAAGGAAAACGATCAGAACACTTACAGCTCTTATATATCTCTAAATTTATCTTCACCAGGTACCAATCACCAGCTAACTATATACCTCCAGCGCATTGAAAGATTGTTTTTTAATTCATTTGTGTTTACTATGTGTGATCAGCCATAACATGTTAAAAGGTGAGGCAGCTTTTTAATTTATTGTGCCAGTTATGGAAATTTTATCAAGGATTCTATGCATTTCATCACACAGCATCCTCCTTTTTAAGATCCAAAGGAGAAAGTCCTTTTGTAACTTCTTGACTGCTATGGATCTTGGCCTGCCATATTTCCTTTTTTTATTTTGGCTACTAGAAACCTTGAGACTAAATTTGCAGACAACCTTGAAGAAGCACATAGTGTGTGTTTCAATAGATTTATCATTGGTTTTATATTCTTTGTCTCCAGATTATCCTTTACCCCCGACTTTTGGTGTTACTCATATATAATTTGATAAATTGTCTCAGATTATTTGCATGACAAGCTTGATAATGTTATCAATAAATAAAGATTAAAAGCTGCATTTGAATTTAAAATTTTATGAATATATTTTTCTTTTAAAGGTGAAAGAAAATTTTTTTTCTATTTAAAATAACCAGTATTTCTATGGTTTTCGATTTCTGTTACTTACTTTAAGTGTGTCTCTGACCTGGGCTCTAATAACAGGGCCCAAAATTCCATTTTCATTGATATCCAGCCTTTTGGTGAAGGACTCATCTTGGTACTGTCTATAGACGACCTTCTTATAATGCTTTCCAATTTGGTTTGAGAAATTATCCAAGTGCAGAGATCTGTATTTCCTTATAATGAAATGAAATTTTAAAGGTATTACACCATTGTTTTTTTTTTTTTTTCAAATAGATACCCCAGTAGAATGGTGAAACCCTGGTGCTTATAAGTTTTACCTTTGTATTAGCTAAAAGTTAGCCTTCTTAAAAAGAGAGAGAGAAAGAGAAAAAAAATCTTAATCTAGTTTAGCAAAGTTCTGTTTTTTGGAGAATTGGCAATATCTGAGGTGTACTCTCCCCTCCTCTCATTGATAAAATCAACTACGTCTGGTTAATAGCAGCTATTTTTATTTGCCTGTCATTCTGATGGCAATGGGAGACCTCATATCTCTGGGGGAAAAAAAAGTTTACACTAGCTGCAAGGAGAGGACATACTAAAAATTTTTTCTTAAGTCTCTCCTGTGCCCTTATTGACTTTCCATGTGTTTCTCAATCTCTAAAGCCATTCCTACTTCAGGAAGTTTTCACTGTTTCTATAGTTCTACAATCTACCCAGTTCTGGTGCTGCCTGAAAAGAAACCATGTTCACTCAATCCAGTATCAGCTGGAGTAAATGATTCTGTGGCAGCCATGTGAACCACTTTTAACCTTGGTCCACTTTATTTTAGTTTTCAAAAGTAGAAAATCCATGATAAAGTTTACCCATTTGAGATATTTATTTTGAGCAATAAAAAGCACTGTTGGCAGAGTATACTGGGTTCCTATGTTAGTTCTGTCAGATAATTATTGTGATATTGCACAAGATCCCTTTTTGTTCAGAAACTAAAATTGTTTGAATAGCAAATTCATTTACATGAGTTTGATTAAAGTGAAAACTCTTACATAATATATCTCCTCAAACTTAACTTCCCAAACTCTCCGCATTTTTTAAACATCCACTTGCAGTAATTTTATGTAGACAATTGCAGAGTATTTTTAGGCAAATAAATATAGCTATGACTTGCAAATATATTCTAATTCTTTCTCATGTAATAAAAGATAGCTATTCACTTACTCTGTGCTACACCTTGACCTTTTTTTTTTTTTTTACATTTTCCAGTTTTCTTAAGGTCTAGTGATGATTAAAAATTGTATATAGGGGAACTTGTACAAGATTTCAGTTGTGTATATTTGCAGTGTATGTAACAATTTATATATGTATACACTTGATTACCACAAACTTATTAACACTTATTCATCTCACCTAGTTAAATCATGTATTTCTTGTGTATGTGTTTATGTGTGATAAGTTACAATCTATTATCTCAGTAAATTTCAAGCATATAATACAGTAATATTGACTGTAGTTATCCTGCTGCTTATTAATGTATTTGCCTTATAACTGAAAGTTTATACATACTTTGACCATTATCTTCTCACTTTCCTCATGGAAATGATTGCTATTGATATATATATATATATCTTTTTTTTTCCAATACTGAATACTGTCCTCATAGATATATGATTTGTAAATATATTCTCCCATTCCATATGTTGCCTTTTAATTTTTTGGATTTTTTTCTTTCACTGTGAATAACCATTTTAGTTTAGCTTAGTCATACTTGTCAATTTTTGCTTTTGTTGCTGGTGTATTTGGTCTCATACCCACAAAATAATTGCAAAGACCTATGCCAAAGAGAATGGGGGGAATGAATTTTTTTTTTAAAGATTTATTCATTTATGCATACAGAACTGGAGAACAGGCCAGAAGTGCAGGGGTGGTGAGAGGATTCACAAGAGACAGAGTGGGGAGGAGAACAGGCAGATCATTGAAGTACACTGCTGAGCGGAGCAGCGGTCGGGTCTGCCGCACCATGTGGGTCACCTCTGGGGTCAGGGATCAAACTGGTGCTGAAGTAGCTTTAGCTTCTTAGTGCTGTGTTTAACCGCTACACCACCAGGGAGGACATGGAGTGAACTTTTTAATGAAATTAATTCTTAAAATTCATGAAGATGGGACATCTTTTTATTTGTTTTCAGTTTCTTCTACCAAAATATTACAGTTTTCAGTGTGTAGATCTTTCACTTCCTTTTAAATTTTTGTTTAAATAATTCATTGTTAGTGTTAATAGATACAACTGATTTTTGTGTGTTGATTTTTATAGCCTGCAAATTTATGGAATTCTTTTATTAGTTCTAGTAGTTATTTTGGTGGATTTTTAAGGGTTTTCTAAATATGAAATGTAATCTACAAATAGAGATAATTTTAACTTCTCTCTGGATTGCTTTGTCTAGGATTTCCAGTACTATGTTGAGAAGTGATGAAAGTAGGCACACTTGTCTTATTCCTGATCTTAATGGAAATTTAATGGAAAAGATTTCAGCTTTCACCATTGAGTATAATCTTATCTTAGGGTTTGTTGTATATGTCCCTGGTTATGTTAATGAACACTCCTTTTAGATTTAATTTATTGAGAACCTTTATCACTAAAAGAAGTTTGTAAAATATCTTTTCTTCATCTATGGAAATTGTTATGTGATTTCCTAATCTACATAATAAATAAGAACTGTCTTTAACTTGAGAAATTAAAATGAAGTTCTTTGAATAGTTTGAACACTGTGCTTGGAAGTACCAAGTATTTAACAAGTATTAGCTATTTCTATCACTACTACTACTATTACTACTATGGTATGCTGAGTTCCCTTGGTGATTTCGGGATAATTTTATATTGATTTGACAGTCAAGAGATGTCAACTTATGACATTTCACCTCATACTTCTTGGACCCCATTGATGATGCTTCAAACCTTCAACAATGATAAGAACCCCTAGTACTCACTTATCCATGTTTGCTGGTATTACAGGTGCATAGTCCCAAATGACTTCTTCTGCAGCAATGAAGTATTCCCATCTCTTCATGTACCGCCTCTGGTCACGAGTGAGTTTCTTAGTTTTTCTGGTTTTCTTTGGGCAGTTCTTAACATTTAAGGAAGCCTGCATTCCAGCTAAGATGGTACATAAATATAGTAAAAGAATATGAGAAAAGAAATTCAAGCTAATTAAAAAACATATATGCAAAAAGAAAAAAAAAACATGTGTGGATGGTTTCAATAATAATGGTGAAGGTAATATTTACACAAACTTTGGATATTTTGGTTTGGACCTTTTTCAGTACAGTTAAAAAGAGGGCAAAAGTAAAAAAAGAATGAATGATGAACTTGGGAAGAGAAAGGAAATTTCTTGTAAGTTCTAAATCCTGAAAACTTTGAGTTAGGTCTTGTTGAATTCTTATTTTACCTATTATCTGTCTTTCTCATTTTTTTTAAATGTAGATAATACTAGTATATATATAGTATTTACTATGTGAAATGAGTTAACACAAACTGTGCTTAATCTCAATAAATGTACTTTTGTTGTTATTTTATTATCATCTAGGACTCTAACTTCCCAGCATACTTAGATAATCTTATTACTTCTAATATAATTGACTTCTCAGTATGAAAATAAAATTAAATGATTCCATGTGCTTACACACATTATTTTGGGAACAAAATAATAGTGATGCTATTTCCTTACATTTTCCTCTGTTCGCAAGAACTCCTCCCAACAGTGTGTAGTAGTAGATGTTTGTCTCATACTACAATCTAGGTCTTTTCCTTTATTTGATTATTAAATAAAATACTCCAAGAAAGAATATCTCTATGATGCATTCATGTTTCCTTCCTCCTTTCTCCTTTTGAGGAAGTAGAAGCTCTTAAACTTTTTTTGCTTCACTTTAAGCAATCTTTGTTAATTCCTCAACTTCCTCCATCCCTAGCTGAGGTGTTATAAGTCTAAGAACACAGTTCCTAAATTCTGTTTTTAGTGCCCAAGGCATGCTAGCCTGTTGTGTGGGTAACTTTAAAAGGGCAAAGGAGAAGGAAGTTGGTGCTTGGGAAGACAGGTTTCCACATTAATAATCAAGACTGTTTCTTACCTTGAAAATGTTTTGGGATGAGAGAAGATATGATCCACTTCCCCTCTGGGCTCATAGTCATGTTTGCAGTGGTGGACGTAGCACTGACGAGGGTAATGGCTGAGATTTTATGATGGTTCTGCTCCAGGACTTGACCACTGAAATGAATGGAGAACAATTCTGGTCCAGAGCTCATTCCAATCAGATGCCAGCTGACATGGTCATAGGCACAAACTGTAACATCTGAGAGAGAAGGGCAAATGGGGGCCAAAACAGTCAGTCTAGCATTTGTGATAAAAATAATTCACTCACCAGATACAGATCAAGTACCTGCTGTGCATGAGGAATAGTTGGTAATTTGAGTGATTTAGATACTCTACTGTAGTTCCTACCCTGAAAAAGCAGACAACTAGATGATGGGGAAATTAGTAGTCACAATTGACTTATAAGTGACATTAGACTAAAGCCCAGAGATGGGGTGTGTTAGTTTAAACACAGGGATTGCTAAGGTACTAGACCAAGGAGAGGACCAAGTCAGTGACAACTCATCCTACTTTACCCAAGATGGAAAGGTTTCCCAGGATGCAGGACTTTCAATACTAGAACTGGCAAAATTCTGGGCAAACTGGAGTGGCTGGTCACTCTGGAACTCATCTGGGCTTAGTGGGAGGGGTCACAAGAGTCTCCAACAGTGTTGAGTTGAAGGGTCTCTCTGCTGGTTAGAGGTCAAATCTCTGCTAAAAGGGAAGGTGTGATGATTTAAGGATTTTATATTGCTTCTTTATCCACTTATTGTCTTAATGACAAAGTAGTGAATTACTTCATAGGTTACAGGATCTACTTAAAATGCAGTGGACAAGTCTTCAGCCCACTGGGAACATTTCATGGAAAATAATGAGAATTGAGTTTTGTTCTTTCTTTAATGCCACAGTAACTGAGAAAATGAGATACCAAACCTGGCTCCTATCCTTGGCTTAGTTTTTCAATTTCATATTTATAATCAATAAATACTAGACAGTGGGCTGAGCATCAGTCCCTTATCCACAGAGTGGCTAAGGAATTTTCTCTTTTAGACTACCCTTGTAATAGGGCACTGCCATTCCTGGTATCATGGAAGAAAACCAGCATCTAGAACCTGAGAATAAGAAGCTAGGAGATAGGAGTGAAAGATAGGAGGGTATAGCAGATTCATTTATTCATTCACAGAAAAATGCTTGTACTGAACAGAGCATTTTATAAACTATCATATTTATTTGGTTTACATTGCTCCATATATAGTTTTACAAACAATATCTTTTCTTTAGCTTCTACAAATATTTCCTAAACTTGACTTTCTTAGTCCAAATTATACTTTTTCAGCAATAAGCTAATAAATTCTATTTCTGAACTTATTCTTTTTTATTTTTGTGTATATGGTTTGCTTATTTTTTTTTTTGTCTTTTATGCATTTAACATGATTCTCATTGCCAGGACTCAGATACAATTTCTCTTTTGACTTCTTCCTTCTAAATCTCCCTGTACTAAACATGCTATTAAATATATATAGATGTAGATAAATATTAAAAGTCCTCTGCACAAATGATTAAGTCATTTTTGGGAAGTAAATAATTTGAGACAAGTTAGTGCTGAAGAACCACACCAACGAGAAGTAAACAAGGTTTGAACTCAGGTCGTTTAAGATCAATTAACTAAGGCCCAAGTTTTCAGAGTCCTGATTTTAGGACTCTGAACCAAAAGTCAGAGTCATCTGAGTGTATTTGTAAGACCCCGGGAGGGAGCAGAGTCAAATGAAATACAATACAATTTAAATAAAAATTTAGACATCAATAATGACAATTTTTGTTTCTAGTAATTGAAGCAATTTGTGATTTTAAGATATAGATAATTGTCTCTGGAAACGTTCACATTTTAAAATGTGCTTAACTTATTGAAGTATAACTTTAATGTTGCCCACTCACTGTTAGGATCTTTGGTTCTAAGTACTTTATACCAGAGAAAAGTTGAAGTGATTTAGGCTCCCCCTACTCACATTTGCTATTATTCTTTAATCACAAGATCTGTACAAAAATAGAAAGAGAAGGCATTTTATATGCCTTTGAATATTATTCATCACCATTTGAAATGCTAGCAGCATTATTGTATATTGGTATTTCCCCTCATTTCTTATTCATCTTCACTGTTTTTTTTTTCACATATATATTTTGTCAGACCCTTCCTGCTAGGAATTGATCTTGAAATTCTGTCCTATGCCTCTGTGGGAAAAGGCATAATTACCATGTAGGAGGGGCCACAGATTCAATGAAGGAGATGAGCTGATATCCCAGAGGTCTCCCTGGAGATGTAGATTAAGGTGAAACCTATTCAGAGCTCTACCTCTAATAATTCTACACACTCCTCTTAGGTAACTTCCAATTTGTCTGTTATACTTGCTGATTAAAAGATTATAATCTCTTGATAATCACTGAACTAGGTTATGTTAACTTTTTGATTAAGAGTTGAAAAATAGAGAATATGGACAACTTTCTTAGAGCACTACAGAAAACAATAGGACCAAGTTATGGATGATTCCACTATTGCAGAGTGCACAGCTCACATGTTACCTGGCATGGTTCCATTTACATAGCCATTGACTGTGTACATTAGGGATGGTGAGTGGCTCCAACTCTTGCTTTCATCAAACACAGCAAACATCAACACATGTTGCTTGTCATACATCTTCTGAATCCCATCCTCAGTGAGGGTGCCTATTTAAGAAAACACATACATTCCAGTAGTATCCAGATAGAAAATTTTCAAATAGTATTCCTGGAAAGCAAAGACTGGTAGGTAAGAAACTAGTTGTAATTCATACTAACAACTTTAAGAAGTTCTTTTTAAAAATAGCATTTTTTAAGTAATGATGATGGGCAGATTATTAGAATTAGGTGTCACATTAAGTGTTTATCCTTGGAACTTCATAGTCTGGGGGAATGGCCTTTATAGGTTAATTTTATCAGGCATAGAGAAAAAATCCTTTGGTGACTGTCAAGGGTTTACTGAAAGTATCAATTTCCTCCAGGGTCAATTTACCAATACAAAAGTATCTTAGTTGAATGCCATCTCATTTGTATATGTAGTGGGGGCACTAGAGAATTGGTTGAGAAGGTTAATGATGAAAAATGCAGCTCATCATAAAATCAAAGAAGCATTTTAATAAGTTTGAATGTTGGTTGGTGCAATTGCAATATCTTCTGTATACTAAGTAGTGCTATGAATAAATGAATTAGAAATATAAATAGCTATAGTATATGTGTAGGCAAAGACAGATGGTGAGTCTATCATGTTACTTCCAACAATGCAGTTCATTTTTAGTTGGTTATTATTTTTTCTTTCTTTTTTTTAATATTTATATTATGACTGGATTTTTTTTTAGATTTATTTATTTATTCATACAGAACTGGGGTACAGGCCAGAGATGCGGAGGGTGAGAGGATTCACCAGAGAGCCAGTGGGGAGCAGAACAGGCAGATTGACGAATTACACTGCTGAGGGGTGGGCCAGGAGAGGTCTGCTAGGCCATGTGAATCTCCTCCAGGGCAGGTGGGGATCAAACTCATGCTAAAGTGGCTTAAGCCTTTTAGTGCTGTGCTTTACCCACTACGCCACCAGGGAGGGCCTGGGCTAACTTCTTTTGGGATAAAATTGAAGTTCAAGCTTGTGCCTCAGAAGCCCAGCCAATATAACTCCTTACAAAGTCAATTTAGTATATTTGACACCAATCAACCAAAGTGTCCAACTTGTTTATGAAACAGCAAGTTGGAATGTTGTGTTTGTAGACCAAATTCAAGTCTCGGCTATATTCTTTCATAATTCTTTCAGCAGAGTACAGGCTGCTGTACTTTCAAAAAGACTTGTTCCTGAGGTGAGTATTATAGATCTTATGAGGATGGCTTCAGAGAATACTGTCAGGTTGGGATTTACTTGGTAGACACAACCAGGTCTGAGATGAAGTAGGGGTTGGAAGAGACAGAGGAAGATTATAAATCTCTTAAATTTGTGTTTTATACACCCAAAGACCAATCATTAACATTTTCACAATAACCTGATTTCTCCATGGTCTCCCTGTGCTTTATTTATGAAAGGTACCAAGATTCTCCCCAGCATCATTCTATAGGCATATTACTTACCACCATGACATCATTCTTATTGTGTTGTTATTGTTTTACCTTTCTTACAAATAAGCAGAGGTCCAATAAGTCCAGAGTTGAAGTCATGTATAAGGTTTTCATGGGAGTAATAGATGTGTGTGAGGCAGGGAGGGTCATCTTGTGTGGGCCCACTGTCCTCACTGATAATCCATTCATAAGTATATTCCTGGCCTGGTGCTATAACATCATCCATCTTCTCCACAGGGAATGTGTGGTCCACGTAAGATGCACCTGCAGAAAGAAAAGCCCTGAAAACATCTGAACATTTCTGAGAACTATTTTTTTATATATATAACAGTTTATTTTTATATCATCTTGTGCATTTTTTTTTCATCTCTGCTGTAATCCCCGTGGGGAACTGCTATTTTTAATCACTCACAAATCTGGAGAGATATGAGATGTATAGGCCTTTCTGTAGCACTTGGGATAAATATATTTCATTATTTGTAACAATTTATATATATCCACTTCCATGTCTCTGTAATTACAAAGACTTTTATTACATGGTGATCTTAAGTGAACAGAAATGCTACTAGGAAGCTTAGAGTTAGCAAGTTAGTTTCTCAGAGTATCTACATAATTATTATTTAAATATAATCAGGCAGTTAAATCTCCTTGATCAGTAAAGCAACTCTGACTAGATCTGTTTTTTTTTTTTTTTTAGTGGTTCCATCTTAGATTTAACTATGTTAGCCTAGGTTTAGAAGTTTAGATGCTTTACATCTGAAGTTCAGATGCCTTCAATCTGTACTTTATGTACCCAAAGACCCACCATTAACACTTTCACATGCATTTGACTTTCCCTTCTGTTGAGAGAGGTGTGTTGTAGAAATCTCTTCCTTATTGAAGAGATTACTAAGGATGAAAAGAAATGCAGAGAGCTTAGTAGGACTTTCAACAGCAAAGGAAGATGTGGCTAAAGATGGAGCAAGTGAGGTCAGGAAGGGAAAAGTCAGTGTCATAGCCAAGTGGGGTGGGCAGCTTCCCCTAGTGGAGGCTTTCCTCATTTAGTTATGTGAAAGTCTCAATATCACCAGCCCATGCCAGGATTGCTCTTTGGACTACACAAATTTAAGTATGACCTACCCTTACTTCTTTCTTGAGTCCTATTATATGTGATTCTTTTCCTTGTTACTAATTCTCAGTCATTAGTATCCCCTTTGGTTCTCCAGATATGTAAACTTTCATCCTACCCCAGGATCTTTGTAGATACTATATCCTTGACCTACAGTGCTCTCCTGTCTTTCTTCCTTTTGATAAATGACTCTCATCCTTCAAATGTCAACTTTAAATATAAAGTTATTCCTTCCTTGATCTGTGACTGTGCTGTATAATTTTTCTTTTATAACACTTATCACAATTAATAATCAAACATTACATGTCATTAATTTAATTTTCTCCTACAAGATAATTTTTTGTGTCTTGCTCATTTCCATGACCAGAATATGAACTTCTTGAAAGCAATTGTGAAGCATATTTGTCTTAGTATCCCTGGTTTCTTTAACCTAGCATGGAGAAGGCACTCAATGAATACTTACTGAACACTTCAGATGTAAGATCCTGTAGGCTAGAACCAAGTTTATCAAGTCTTGGCTTGTGGGTATATTTTAAGTTTACAATGGTGTTAAAACTAATTAAATGCCAACATTAACAGTGTAGAGATATTATATAAAAATCTGGGTTGCTGGCTTCTCAAATATACAAACAAAAAACCTGGGGATCTGGTGACACTGAACCAAACTCCTGCATAGAATTTCACTAGCTCTGAGACCTAGCTGCCCTGATATACAGGAAACTGACTCTGATCACAGATCTTACTGAGGCTCATTTTTTGCTGTTGGATTATCCTCCTAGTTTGTGACCTTTGTGCTACTGGAAAGCTTACGATAATTCTGTTCTTTCCCCCTCCCAATTATTTGACACTGAAAACCAATATTTACTATAGGTTGATCTTTCACTTTGTTTAAAAAATAGTTCAAATATTAAAGTTATCAAGAGCTGAGAAATGGTGAAATCCTAAATAACTTTGAATAATAGTAGAAGCCACAACTAAACTGCATTGTTTATCTGAAATGTAAACCCACTAATATAAATATCTAAGAGACCATTACACTTGTGTTAAGAACTTATGACTGACTTTCTTGTTACATCAAACTTGTTTTTAAACGAGGGTTTCACATCCAGGTTTATTTGAGCACATGGTGGTTTTAAAATGTTCATCTAGTTGACCAAAGAAAATTATTCATAATTCCATTAACAGGTTAGTTAAATATTACTGGTGAATGATGAGTATCTTGGAACAAAGTGTGAACAGTGTAGAATTTCACATGGGGTTAGATTCTGGTATTATACTCAGGAAGGATACTAATGAGATAGTTTGGGGTAATTTTATAAGTGCTTCTTTTCACTTAAAAGTATAATTTTATCTTTAGTCTAGAATAAAATAGTTATTTCATATCTTTGATTTTGTATCCTACATAGTATGAAGGATGAACTATAAATGTATGTGCACTTATAAAATGCATTCTTTTGGTGAATCTGATGTTGTAATAAAAATAAAATGTTAAAGCTTTTAACTGAAAGAGGAGAAATGGACAGGAAAGACTATCGTGCTAGGATACAAAAAGTTCTTGTTCAGCTTCTAGTCACAATTAATTCTTCACACAAGCAAAGCCCTTCATTTTCTATTTATCCAATTCTGTTCACTTCCAGCCTGGTTCATAGTAATTTGTTTACTCTTTTCAAGATGCACTAATTATTTGCCAAGAAGTTCTCAGTATGTTTTTTTTTTCAAATGTAAAATGGTGTGCACAAGCTTCTAGAAAGTGCAGATAGATAAAGAGCTGCTTTGGTTGCTCACTAAGATGCTGGTTCACCCAATCCTACTTTGTTACTGATTTTTAAAAATAGCTCTTTTCTGTCCCATTTAATAAACTTAGTGGATGTTTTGTGCTTTCAAAGATTCGAAACATTTTTTTAGAAGCTATAATTTAGAAATGGGTATATTTGAATGCTGACATTTTATATAAATACCCTAGTTCACTGAACAGGAATGTAAGTCTTATTGAGAGAGAAAGGATAGTTGAGATTTACAAGAAATATTGCATTATTATTATTATTGCATTTGTTTCAGCTATTTACCTTACACTCAGAGAAGTTTCTCTGTAAGATCAAAACATATATTTAGAGTAAACATGAAAAGATAATCACCTATATTATATCAAGCAGTGGCATGTTTTGGAAGAACTTAGAAGACTTATTTTTGTATCAAGAATTTTGTAATACATGACAAAAACAATCTCTGGTGGAAATTTTCTTGTATTTTAATTTTTATTTGGAGAGTTGGCTTACCAGCAGACAATTAATTTTGTGATATAGCATTTATAACATAACTCACATTTAAAATATGAATTCAAGAAAAATATTTAAATCACTCTAAAATAACCTTCAAAAATCTTTTGAGTAACAAAATTTCCTCACAGGTGCAGTATCTCCTTCATGTAGTTCAGTCAAGCTAGTTATAGACTTTCTGAAATGTTAGCCCCAAGTGGAAGCCCATTAGTGACTAGTTGCAGATGTATTTCCTAGTTTAAAAAATAGTATTATTTAATATATTTCTAAAGCAAATATTCTTTAGAAATTTTTATAAATCATGATTTATCCATCCTGTCAAAAAATTTACTTGTCCATGCATTATGGATCATTGAGGACTTCTCCAAGCACACATTGGAGGGAGTGTCACTGGGAATAATTTGAGTACATCCAGGTGCTACTTGCCATTTATGTTAGATGCTGCCAATTTATGAATGAAAATGAAATTTCCACTGGGAATAATAAAATCTTTCCTGGAAAGTTCATAATTCCAACCCTATGCCAATTCTTCACATAGCAAAGAATTAAAAAGCAACAATTCTCTAAGTCACATAAATAGACATTACAAAGTCCATGAACTAAAGGCATTTGAGATAAACAATACCACAGGTGATAGCTTAGGTCTTCCTTAGAGTCAGTTTACTCCACAGGCTACCACACCTGAGATTCTCCATGCAATTTTAGTTCATTTTGGCATTTAAATTCTACAGGAAAGTTTTATTTCATCTGAGTAGAAATAAAATGATAAGCATAATCCATGGCCTTCAAAGGATACAAATTTAATATGTGCATGATAAATAGTTATGAAATAACCACAGCTGTCATTATTGAGTGACAACTAGGTGCCAAGCACTTTGCATATATTATGATCAATCCTTGCAATACCTTATATGGAGGAATTAGCATCCCCATTTTATGAGAGTTACTGGTGAGGGGAATTGCCTGGTTAGGGTTCAAACACAGGTCATTTCAGGTCTAAAGGCAGCATTCTTTCAATGCTCTCTTCTCCTTGTAGTTGATGAAAAGTAGGTCCTCAGATCCTTGACAGGGTTTAAAGATCAACTCTCAGATAAGGAAGAATGCTGTCTCTGTTGGATGGCTCGCTGGTTAGATTGAGTAAGGATTGATTCTTCTCTCAAGCCTATTATATTGTCTCAATCACCCAATCCATCTCTCAAATATCTACCTTTGTAGATAAAAGAATCTGGATTCTTGTGTATCTCGCTCAGCTGTTGATAAGTTATCTCCTGAGAAAATAGTAAGACCACAGAGGATGTTTTTGAATTTTCTCTATGTGTCAGGCATGAAGATGTTTTATTTTAACACATAGGATGCAATAAAAGGAACAAAAGTCTTGTCTCTCATCCTTCAAATGTCAACTTTAAATATAAAGTTATTCCTTCCTTGATCTGTGACTGTGCTGTATAATTTTTCTTTTATAACACTTATCACAATTAATAATCAAACATTACATGTCATTAATTTAATTTTCTCCTACAAGATAATTTTTTGTGTCTTGCTCATTTCCATGACCAGAATATGAACTTCTTGAAAGCAATTGTGAAGCATATTTGTCTTAGTATCCCTGGTTTCTTTAACCTAGCATGGAGAAGGCACTCAATGAATACTTACTGAACACTTCAGATGTAAGATCCTGTAGGCTAGAACCAAGTTTATCAAGTCTTGGCTTGTGGGTATATTTTAAGTTTACAATGGTGTTAAAACTAATTAAATGCCAACATTAACAGTGTAGAGATATTATATAAAAATCTGGGTTGCTGGCTTCTCAAATA